TGTAATCAGTATCTTAAGATTAATTAAGTTATTGATTCTATAACATAAATGGCATATTAAAATACTTCACTGTTTTGTTTAAAAAATCAAAATTAATCTGAACATGGTCAAGTCACTGAAAACAGCACTTGAAGGGAATGTTTCAAGGGGAGGTATTTTGTTTGTTTGCTGTGTTTCCCACCCATGAACATGTTGACAACTGGCCAGGTCTCTTTTTTCCTGATTTTCCTAGAATCTTTTTTAAAGCCCAATGTAGAATTCTTCACCTAGGACTTACCATCTCCCACTTTGATTACTTACCTTAACTGGCCTTAGTAACTGCTCCATTGCTGTCTTGAAACGCTACAATGCCAGCTTCTGGGAGTTCTTTGTAATCCCTTTTGAACCTGTTGGTTTATCATTTAACCACATTTAGTTCAGGTTCCTTGTCTTTATTATCAAGACTTTTCCTAAATTCCCCGCCCCACTTAATTTATGTGGTTTAATTTAGCAAAGTACTTGTGGAAGGGAAGTATGTTGTACTGAGCTAGTTACATTACCCTGCATTACCCTCATGTGTCTGGCAACCGTATCCACTTTTTAGCTACTCTTTCCAAAGAAAACCAACAAGAACTCTTTCCACATGCCATGTTGTTGTTGAACTGATGCTGTCTTGCCTCTGAACTTGACATCTAGTTTTATTGCTGCAAAAATACTGATACAATACATAGACGGGTATGTTCATGACTTACATTCATTCTTGGTATTTGCTTATTGGTATTGTAACCTCCTTTAAGTAACTGCACTTAACAGAATTTCCAGCAGGCTTCACTAGTACATCACTTTTTTTTCTCCTCCAGAGTCAGTCTGGACATGATGTCAGTGCAGGCAAATACTGGCCCATCGTGGGAAGACAAGAATACCACAGCGTTCTGGAGAGGACGTGACAGCCGCAAGGAGAGACTTGAACTTGAAAAGCAGGAAATATCCAGAGATCATAGACGCTGCTTTCACAAACTTTTTTTTTTTCAAGCATGATGAAAGCCTCTATGGCCCCATTGTTAAGCACATTTCATTTTTTGATTTTTTTAAGGTAAGCCACTAACCATTTTTCATAGAACTAGGTTCTTGGTGGTTCCCATTATCAAATAACTTTGTAGATATTACTGATAATAAAATGATCTTTAGATTTTCAGCACACCACCAGTAATAAACATGATGAGGTATCTCTCCAGTGGGATTAACTGCTGTGTAGCTTTTACACTAGGGATAATAATGTTTGATTTACATCTAAAGGTTCTGTAGAACCTTGTGTAATCTATATAGCTCCAAGTTCCTTTTTATTTCTTTTTCCTGATTCAGCGATAAGGGCTACTAACATAACTAGCAAAGTGGGAAAATCAGTGGATGAAGTGGCACATCTCCACTGAAATCTGAGGATGAGCATCTGAGAATTTCTGGAGAATTTAATCGATGAAGCGGGCATCTCTATGTACCCTGCACTCTGATGAATTCCAAATTAAATACTAAAAACTACTTAAACATTGATGCTTGCCTAGCCAGTCCTACATTGCTCAATATCCACAAGTCAGTAATACCAGTGGCCTCAGAATAATACAACCTAATCAAGCTGCTAGGATCTCGTGTTTGTTAATAACTGACATTCATTGTCTTTCCAGTATAAATACCAAATTAACATTGATGGCACAGTGGCAGCATACAGATTGCCTTATCTACTAGTAGGAAACAGCGTGGTGCTAAAGCAAGACTCTATCTACTACGAGCATTTCTATAATGAGCTGCAGCCATGGAAACACTACATCCCATTTAAAAGTGACCTGAGTGATCTACTAGAAAAATTGCAGTGGGCAAAAGATCATGATGAAGAGGTAAATATGCCTTTGGAAGTACTCAGCAATGTTTCTAGACAAAATAGAGCAAAAAGTGCATTGCTTTAAAACAAACGAAAATCTTCAAACTTAAACAGGGGAAATTTAGATTAGGTATGAGGAAGAAGTTCTTTACAGTGAGGGTGGTGAGGCACTGGAATGAGTTACCCAAAGTGGTGAATGCTCCATCCCTAGCAGTGTTCAAGGCCAGGCTGGACAGAGCCTTGGGCAACATGGTTTAGTGTGAGGTGTCCCTGCTCATGGCAGGTGGGTTGGAACTAGATGATCTTAAGGTCCTTTCCAACCCAAACCATTCTATGATTCTATGATTGTATTAGAAGAACTTAAAAATTATTGTCATCAACCCTATGAACAAGAAAAACACTTTTTAAAAAGTATATAATACATCCATTAATTTGAAATTAAGTTGAACTTTGGAAAATTAAGAGTATATTCATAAGAATGCCTTACTTTTAAAATTAAGAATGGTTAAATAAAAATAAAGCAGTTATCCTAAACTGCCAACACTATTACTTAACTCCAGAATCTATATTGGCAGCCTGAAATAACTACTGGGTTTTTTAGAATTAAAAAAAAATAACCCCAACTTTATTTTCTTTTGACAGGCAAAAAACATTGCAAAATCTGGACAAGAATTTGCAAGAAACAATCTCATGGGAGATCACGTTTTTTGTTACTATTTCAAACTTTTCCAGGTTAGTATGTTTTTCATAGCTACTGCCACAATAACAGAAATCACACAGAAAGAATGAAGGGCCATGGAGCTGCTGGGAATTGGCCGGTCCAGTACTTGAAGCCACAAGGCAAGCAGCAGCAGTGGAAAACTTCAGCAGGTTTATGAACACTGTATGCAGTTATTTTCTATGAAAGCCCTTAAGGCTGGTGCTTTGAGAGGAGCAATCGGATCCCATAAATCTTGATCTAATCTGCAAGAATATGTTGCCCACAGTGATCAAAGAATTCTGCCTCGGATGCACACCCTGTGATCCACAGCTGAAAATATCTGTGCATTAGCACTGAGATACTGAAGCTCCAGTGGGACACCAGAAGGGGGTCCTGTCTACAGTTATGGGTCTGTTTACCACGTTGGTTACACAGGGAGTGTGCATACGTATGGTTGGTTGCATATGTAGCCCTGGAGTTTTTACAGAATTACTCATCTGAGTTGGTGCACTCTTTACAACCAGAGTTACAATCCAACAAGTTTGTACATTAACGATACCTTCCTCTTTTAAAACCAGGAATATGCCAGCTTGCAAGTGAGTGAGCCAAAAATCAGAGATGGGATGGAGAAAGTCCAGCAGCCTGAAGATGACCTTTTTCCATGTACTTGCCACAGAAAAAAGGTACAGTACATACAGTGTTAAACATAAGGTGCTGGATGCTTTCACTACTTCTACTGTGCTTGAAGAGGCATTGCTCAGCACCCTGTGGTATCAGTTACCAGACCATTAGCACCTGTTGAACTCAGAAACATTTCCTAATGCATTTGCAGGACTAGACAGGTAAAATTTGAGTTTCCAATTAACTGAAAAGTGTTTCGTTTCTTCACTGCAGGCCAAAGATGAACTCTGACACAAAGAAATCAAGTAATTTTTTTTATATTTACCTACATTCAGACTGCCTTCTTAAAGAAAGAAGAAAAATTTGGATTAAAATGCCAGTGGATAATGTCAACAGATATTAAGAAGTTTACTGTATCATGATCTATATATGGAAGAAAACCAAGTGCCCTCTGTTTCCTTTTTATCATGTAATGGTTGCAGGGCCTTGTTCAAAGCATTTTTATAATTTTTTTTAATAAAAGCCATGTTTGTATCGGTCATGTGTTCCTGTCCCAAGACACCATGGAAATGCAGGTACTTTTACTTGCGCTTGTTATTTTCACAGATTTACTGTCAGTGAAACCCAGTCTCTTCGGCAATATGAAAAGAAGTAAGTAGCGTCAAGCAGTGACCACTGAAACTAAACTGATCATTGTTTCAACAGTCTAGCCTATTTTAAAAACACATGCTTTCCACTGATGCTAAGTAATACAGCTATTACTTTTGAGCATATCAATGTCATCTGAAAATGATCCACAGGTGGATTTGAAGTCCAGTCTAAACTCATTAAATTCTAAAGTTAGTGCATATGCTTCCAGTCCAAAGTGAGGATTTACTTCCTCTATAATACAGCCACTCACTGTCAAACCCACAAACCTATTTTCAAATATGTTTGAAGTGTGCTATGCTTGTAGAACACCACCACCTGGGCTGGGGCAATCCCAGGCACAGCTACAGGTTGGGCAGAGAAGAGATTCAGAGCAGCCCTGAGAAGGACTTGGGGGTGTCGGTTGGTGAGAAACTGAACATGAGCCAGCTCCAGTGTGCGCTTGCAGCCCAGAAACCAACCGTATCCTGGGCTGCATCAAAAGAAGCATGACCAGCAGGTTGAAGGAGGTGATCCTGCCCCTCTCCTCTGCTCTTGTGAGACCTCCCTTGGAGTATTGTGTCCAGTTCTGGTGTCCTCAACATAAAAAGGACATGGAGCTGCTGGAGCAAGTCCAGAGGAGGGCCACGAGGATGATAAGAGGACTGGAGCACCTCCCGTATGAAGACAGGCTGAGAAAGTTGGAGCTGTTCAGCCTGGAGAAGAGAAGGCTGCGTGGAGACCTCATAGCAGCCTTCCAGTATCAGAAGGGGGCCTGTAAGGATGTTGGGAAGGGACTCTTCGTTAGGGACTGTAGTGGTAGGAAAGGGGTAATGGGTTCAAACTTAAACAGGGGAAGTTGAGGTTAGATACAAGTTCTTTACAGTGAGGGTGGTGAGGCACTGGAATGGGTTGCCCAAAATGGTGAATGCTCCATCCCTAGCAGTGTTCAAGGCCAGGTTGGACAGAGCCTTGGGTGGCATGGTCTAGTGTGAGGCATCCCTGCCCATGGCAGTGGGGTTGGAACTAGATGATCTTAAGGCATTCAAGCACTAGGCAAAAGCATTTACTTAGTGATCTGCATTACTAAGTGTTGCACAGTTATTTGCACGGAAACGCAGAAAACAATGCTGCCCTGATTTAAAATATTTTGTAAACTTTGTCCTTTAAAAAGGTCTTTATTATTTTGCATCATTTTTCATTCATAGAAAAGAAGTTTTATTTGCATTTACACTTAGACCACTGAAAACGTATCTTTAAAAAAAAATACACCTCTCAGAAAAACAACCTAATTTGCCACATTTAGGAAAAACTAAATGAAGACATTGCTTAAACACCGCACATCATTTGTGCTCCAGTTCCATATTCTCTCTAAGCCAAGAAAACACCTGGGCATTTATTTCTTCCATGACATCATCTGCTGTTCGTCCTTTGACTGCCATCCCATGGTTTGCTTTATCAACCCAGTAGATTTTTTTAGGGGCTTTCATTTTGTTTACAACACCTTCTAGCAATTGCTGCAGAGAAAGTAAGAATGAAAGAGTTAGAGGATCACAGCTGCTACGAACTGCAACTCCTACATGTCTCCTGCTTTGCCTGTGCAACATGTAACAGGCAGCTCTTCAAATTAAAACGGATCTGCATACACATTAAAAAATGATACTGTGTTCACTAATGGAACATGCTCAAAGGTTCATCCTCACTCAAAAGCAGAATAGCTGGAAGTTAGAACTTCACCAACTGTGACAACCCTGTGCAGGCTCCTTCCCCACCCTGATGAAGGCATCCACGCTTGCTGCCGGAGGGTTGCACCAGCAATGCAATGACAGAACTTCTTCAGTCAGATTAGTCTGCAGTGGCAGAGCACCAATACAGTTCCATGGAGACTGGCCTTGACTCCCTTCAACTCACTCAGCAAACACATCTAAGAACCAGCCTTCCCCACTAAGAGGGCACTCCAAGGATCTGCTGGTTGGTAGCCTGACTTATTTTGGTGCAACACTTCATGAAAGCATTGACTCCCTAGAAACTGTCCAAGCATGGAAAATGCCAATTGCACATGCTCCCAAATTCAAGCTGAACTGTTCAAGAACAACAGGTACACATTTGCAAGAGAACAAGGCAGAAAACCACTGTATTTGCTATTTCAAGAAGCAACAGAAAGCACTGCCAGGCTTCCTGATGTCCGATGAAGTTTCCTACCCAAGGCTTCCTTCAGAAGATGTGTATATATGTATATATATATACGTATGCATAAAGAAAGTTGTTAATCAAAGTCACAGCTGTGTACACCAGTACAGACATCACTGGGACTCATTCCTCCCTACTGCCCCTTCACAGCAGGATTTACAAGGGTACTCACTTTTTCACACATCTCATCTGCTGATCCTGAGACAAACAGCACTGGACACCTGATCCATAGCAAATCTTCATCCCGGAGCTTGGACTGAAGTTTCGGTCGATGCAGTGGATAAGATAAACATACAAGACCTTGAATGAAGTCATCATCATCATCACCCTGGCTAAGCTGACGTATCACAGATGCAGCAGCTCGTGAGCCCATGGAGCGGCCTTTATCCCATGTTAAAATAAAGGAAAAAAGTACATCTGCTGTCACCTCATCTACATTCCGTTTGAGTAAACAGCTCCTAAAAATTAGTGTATTTCAGCCAACGGGAGTAAAAAATGCTAGAGATGCTTTTATTCATCTACTCCATAAAAAATGTTAATCTTAATTTCAGTATTTTCTTCTAAAATATTTTATTATATTATGATTTTACATCCCCAATTAAAAAAAGAAGGGAGGGGGTGGATAGGAAAAATAAATGGAGAGAGATCCTTTGCAATACTGGAAAGAACAAAGCCCATCCTGGGGGCAGAGGGAAAAGAGAGACAGGTCCTATACTCCAGACCCTTGAAATCTGAGACAGCAATGCTATTATCTTGTACAATTTTTGCTCATACAACCTTAATCTGCTCAAATGAAAACCAAATATTTATGCACCTTACTCCCCAAATAAATCCAGCAAGTGTATATGCACACCTCAAACTTCAGCCTAAAAGTAGAAGGGAGGGGAAAAAAGTATTAAAGTGTGAACTTGTAGCAAGAAGTCAATCAACAACAGCAAGCTGGTATCAAAATATCTCCTCAAAGAGGATGCAGATGAGCTGACAATGGTCTGTAATTGAGCGTTAGAAGTGGCTAATTCCAGTGGGATTACCTTGCATCAGCGCAGATTTGGTTTCATTTAGTCAGGGAATATTCAGAGTTTCCTATATCAAGTTATTCCTGATCACAGCCATCTACTTCTCTTTTCACATAACTCTTTTTTTACCAGCTACTAGGTTTCATCTACCAAAACCTGTTTTGGGAAAATGGTTTTCCATTTATCAGGAACCAGAGTTCTTCAAGACCTGTAGTTAAAACGTACATGTGGATTATCAAAGAACTCATGCCCTGTGACTTACAACAGACAAGGAAGTTTTCTCCCAAAGTACATGGTCTATTGCTCTTTCTTTCCTTCTTCTGGAGCGAGATCTGTGGCATCACAAGGAGGGTGAACAGATCTGGAATCTGAAGACAGCGGCAGGCTGGATGTTCCCATGTGTGACCCCAGAAGCAGTGAGACAGCTGAGCTCACACCCGCCCTGCGCAGCACCAGCTACTGGCTTGGCAGCATTCAGCTCCACGTTAAGAGACCCAAATGCAGAGCTGTCAGCGGGCTTTGCACTGCTGCTCCCAGTGGACCACTAATCAATTAATGAAGGTTACAGAGCATTCAGCTGTCAACAGAGAGCTGAACTGCTCTCCCTAGGCAATACTGACCAGTGCGACTTTATTCAGCTTGGTCCCATGTCAGGCAGCAAGCTTTTAGTGCCACCTCAGACTGAAACCTGTCATCCACATCTGTTCATCCACATCCTACCAAAGTAAGACAGACTTCAACAGTGGAGTAATTACAGATTGTTATCATTAGAGACAGTGTAAGGGTGAAAATTATAGGTAATAAAATCTGTACCTGCAAGGAAGACACCCAAAAGTTTATAATCATCAGAAAGCTTCAGGTATTCCTAAAGAAATAAGATTAACATTACAAGCCAGAATTAAGACAGCTGGGAGGCTATGGATTGTTTTGTTTCTAGCTACTAGACACAAAACAGGAAACTCCTTCAGCACTGTAGAGTAAACAAAAACCATATACATACAAGTTGCTCTCTTCTTTTTCACACAAATAATTTCATAATATTTTGCAGCAACAACATAATAAACATAGGCAATTTCACATTAGCTCCCAGCAAGTTTAAAATATCAGATGCCCTATCCAGTTACCAAAACATAAACAATTACTGTGTATCAACTTACAGTAACAAACCAGAAGCACACTTTTAGCTTGTGGAAAGGCAAAATAAGTTAGCAAAAATGCCCTTCATGGAGGTCATTTATTTTCAATGAAAAGATTAAGACACAATCAGTTATCTGTTAGTTATGTCTGACAGAAAAGATAAAATTCAGCTTTTCAGTTTTCAGGAGATAACTAACCAGATGTTATTTTAGCAGAGGCCTTTGAATTGCTTTGACACAGACTCAAATTAGTATAAATTCACTAACATTATGCTTCTTCATAAAAGAATGGAGAACAGATCTAGCAAACTCTGACTTCAAATTAACGTAGATATAATCACAATGACATCATATCAATTAATTCCTTAAGAACTACACTTAATTCCACTATAAAAATGTCTGATGTTCAATGCAAAGCGCTCAAGGTGCCCCAGTAAAAGTAGCTAGATAACCATGAAAAAATTTCCTCTCCTTTCTACATGCTCCAGAACAGGAAGATACTCTAAGCTGATACTATTATAACAAAATATTGCTCATTTTAACAAAACCTAGGTACATAAGAACATCTTAAATAAGGTAGCAGCAGCAGAGATAAACACACACGTAACAGTTTAACTATTTTGAAATCAAAGACTATTTAGGTTCTAGGCCTTTCATATGCTACACCTAATCTCTTGTGCTTCAACTCCTCCTGTGACCCAGAGTCCCCTGCTCCTTCCCCAAAGTCTTGTTCTCACAGCTGCCAACCCTCAAAGGCTCAGCACAATTCCCAGGTCAGCTTTCCTCTCAAAACCGCTTCCAAACTTGTATCCCTTAATTCCTCTCCCATCACCAAGCCCCCTGAGAACACCCATCTCTTGTTTCCATCCTCAATACTTCCATTTTTTCAAGCTGTAAGTTTTCCCACAGAACACCCTTGCTTTCCTCACATCCTTTTCTCAAGCTCTTCCTTCTCTCCTGGCACTCAAACCCACATACACGCTGCAGCTGTTCAGCTACTGCCCACATAAAATTGATCCTACTGTTCCTGTTCACAGACAGTGCCTCATGTATCTAACCATTGCTTCTGATTTTCCTGCTGTTGCTTGACTAATCTCTGGTCATGATTTAAGAAACCCAGAAGATGATACCCATGGATCTACGCTTTGGCAGAAATCGGTCACTTCTTACCACAACTGTTTTGAAGGCCTTAGCCCTATAAGCAATGTTAAGACCTTTACAAGTAAACCGCAGGCATAGGACTCCATGGGATGCAAGACAAGCTGCCAAAGACACTAAGTGAGGGAAGTTCATATCTCCTCCAGCTCCATGGGTGAGAATCACTCCATATGTTGGTTTCTTCTCTGGGACAGAAAAGACAGCATCGAGATACTTATTTCCAAAAGGTATTTTCACTTTAACCTGGAAATGAAAACAAAACCCAATATAATTAAAAAAAAGAAGCGTGTTCCTAGTCTACACATTATGACAAAGAGAAATCAAACAAGAAAGAAACCAAAACTGCAAGTCCACTCTTATTTCTTCCATTTAAGAGCACTAAATGCATAACTCTACCTCTGGCTCAAAGATGTTCCATGCAATAACGGGCAAGTCACTTTATCACTCCACACCTTATTTGCTCCATTAGAAAATGAATCATCCCTAGCTTCAAAGGATGCTTCAAGGCACAAACTCTCAACCTTCTCTATGTATCTAGCTATTCGAGAGCTAACTGTCATATTTGACTTGAATATTAAATCTTCCACTGAGAGAAAAATTAACTGTTCTGTAAGGCTTAAAAATATATAGGAAATATTAAATTTTCTATAACTACAGTTTCCTATAGGCAAAAAGGTTTTTTTATCTCCCGTCTCCCATTGACATTATTAAATACAAGAATTAAGGAAGCATCTACACATTTATTACAATCTAATTACTTTGGGTCTGTAGAGCCATATGGAGTATATAGGATTAAGAGAACTCCATGCTGACAGCAACTATTTAATACTGTAGCTGTAGGGTCCACATACAAGCTTCACTAGCAAGGGAAAAGACCAGAAAAACAATAGTATGAAAAACGGATTTGAATGCACTAGGTTTAGAAATTACATGCAACTATATGGAAAACCCCACATGGATTACTTTTCCTCATAACGTGTTCAATAATAACTGATGGCAGATGTCACAAGATACATATTTCATGTATTTGCATAATTAATATTGTGAGATAAGCAAGGCATTTACTCTCTAACTAGCAGCCTGAAGCGGACAAATACACAACATGAAGCATTTCCAAGTGACACAGTGGTAACCACACAGTGGAGCAGCTGCCTGCATATGCCACCTGCATATAGCAACCTGGTCTAGTGGAAGGTGTCCCTGCCCAGGGCAGTGGGGTTGGAACTACCTGATCTTTAAGGTCCTTTCCAGCCCAAACCATTCTGTGATTCTTTGTAGCCAAAGACTGAACTTTCTTCAAGGAAGGAGAGAGCACAGGTTCAGATAAAGCCAGCTTCAGGCTGGCAGAGAGCCTCGTGACAGACATCTGGAGGAGCTGAATCAGGCGAAAGGGCCAGCTGATGCTCTGCTGAATGACAGGGGGCTGCACAGCAAGTGTCCCTGTATGTGCTGCAGCAACTGAAAGCAAGACCACCCCAGGGCAGGCAGGGATGAAACACTATTTCATTCCACCTCTGCCTCCCAGAGGCTCTCTCCTTGGCAGTGGTCCTACAGACGCACTGCTCAGGGAAGGAGGAGGTGGTCAGTGGCCTCAGAGAGCCGCTGCCCAGTTGAGAAAGGGGAAAGAC